ATCGTTACCATATACTCGCTCGCTATTCCTATCTGTTGAACTTTTCCCTCACATTCAGCATGCTCCATGTTTTGGCTTTGTGAAATTTGGTAGTTTTTTCTTGGTGGAGCAGTAGGATAGTGTGCATCTCATCTGAGAAAGGGACTCAGTGAAAACACTTAGGAGTGTTAGGTAGCACCTGAAGTGCTTTCTAAACAGAGAAATATTTTCTTCAGCTGTGCAACTTTCCTGGCACATGCCTGGGCTCAGGGAGTAGAAAAGCTCTTGGAATTCATCAAATAATAATAATGTGTAATATCTTTATTTCTACAAGTACAGTGGTGCCTTGACTTGCGAGTTAAATTCGTTCCATGACCTAGCTCATAACTCATTTTGCTCGTATATCAAATCAATTTTCCTCATTGAAATTTATTGAAATGCCATTAATCCGTTCCAGCGGAATTCCTGGCTCTCGGGAGGCAGGAGAAAATACTTCAATATAATGCTAATATCAACTCTGTGGCTTATTTATCTATCACAGTTGATCTAATATGACATAATAAACAATATAAATAACATAGAAACATGATATATACTCTAGAATGAATAACATACATCATTACATGACAAGTGGTGGCAGCCACTCCCGAGGTAAAATTAATTCTTGCTCTGACCATATCTTGCAATTCTTGCTCTTCTCAGGTCTTATTATAAGAGAAAACAGTGTGTTTGTGAGGCTAACTGCACTAGATCACTAATCTCATAAGGAAAACACTGAAACAAAGGCGATTTTCTTGTGTTTTTCTATGATTTCATGCTTTAATTCAATGGACACACCCTCTTATTCTCAGCACTGTCCTTTGCACTTTCTTAGGACCCATGGTTAGAAAAAAAGAAATTTGGCAAAATAACTGCACAAAACGCTTGGATGCTGAGCGGATGTGGCGTTCGCTGCGCCAACTAGTGGCGGTGTATCTGAAGCTTGCCTGTAACTCTGATTTTGGCTCACAGCTCAAAGCAAAAAAATTGACCGAGCGATGGCTCATAACTTGGAAACTCGTAAGTTGGAGCACTCATAAGTCAAGGTACCATTGTGCATGTACAAGGTATATAGGCCTAGCTGACATCAATGACATACTACTATATAGAAAGCCGCTTGTTATGCAGAGCATTTCAAGCAGATTAGGTCAGTTTTTTGTTCCAGGATGCGACCCATACCAGTCATCTAACACCCATGTACCCATTTTACTGATGGGGAACATAGACAGCCTGTGTAAGGAAACACACCCAATGTTTCTACCCTCGCCGGGAATCGAACCCGGACATTCGCCATGTGAAGTGAGATCTTTTAGCCACCAGGCCATGGGGCACCGCAAGGTATGCTCTGTAGCTTTGAATTGCATTGTGCAGTACACAAAAGGCTTTAAAGCTGCTTTCTTGGTAGACTGGTCATCCATTGTACCTGATGTAAAGTGAGACGGCTTACTTCTTGTGCTGTTGTGGTATGGTCTTCTTATACGAGTATGAGCATGGAATGCCTTTCCTGGAAAGCATCCTTAACTGAGCTCTGACACTGTGTCCCTCTCTGAAGAATTTCAAAATAGGTGTACTTTAGGCAGTGAATATTTTGTAAGAGCTCACATAGCACCTGGAGAGAATAGATTGCTTGACTATGCTCTGCTGGTATGCAGCCTTGTGCCGCTTAAGGCTGTATAGCTACCAGGTCTACTGCTGTGCTTAGTGGATCCTGTCTGCCACCTGTTAATTTGTCTTTTTACTGTAGCATTGTGAGTGTTCTCTGATGAGAACCTCAGTGTTGATTCTGGATCTTTACTGCAGACTTCCCTCCTGAATTGTAACCCAGATGTATATGAGGTCAGGGAGATTGGGTTATTCCCTTACCCTCCTTGGATGGTATCAAATGAAATAACTAGGGAAAATAGTAAATATAAAATAATAGTACATGCTAGATTTTGTGATTCCAGGTGCAATTATAAGAGGGTGATGATATGATCAGTCATCCACAACATTATGGTTTGTCTTTTTGACACTTAATACAAGAGATTGCAAGTGTGGGCTATCAGTTAAGAAAAAAATTGTCCCTTATAAAGGAAATTAACATTGAAATTGATGAAGATTTTTTTTAGCAATAAACCAATCAATTGAAAGTATGTGTTAACATGCTGTGCTGTACATTGTTTCCCAGATTCCCCACCTCTGCTGTTGAATTTGTTTGCTAATGAAAAATTTGCTTGTTACACTGCAGGTTGTGTATTTATACATTGTTTACACTGTATATGCATGAGAAATAAGAGCCAAAATATTTATCTTTAAAGATAAAAATTTACCTGCTAAATGCATTTTATAAATAATTTAAGTTATGCAAACTATAGCATTTCAGGATGATTGAAGAGGCAAGATCATATCAACATAGTAACTTGAATTTTACTAAGCAGTGTTATGAGATTTGTATGAACTATTTCAGGATATGAATGTCACTTATCATAGTGCAACACTGATGTCATATTTTCATTAACTTGCAGAATCATTATACAAACAAGTAAGGGCAGCTTTGTTTATGCTTTTTTTTTTTTTGTAGTTATAATGTACCAGGTAATAAGTTTTGATGTTACAGCCAGTGAATGAGGTGGTGCATGCAAACTTAAAATTTAGTCTTTAGTCATGTTTGTAATGGCTTCCTTTGTGTTGTGCATTTCTTTGTAGTGCTTTTTTATTTTTACAGATAGTATGAATAGCTTTTACCTCTTGCTTCTAAATATGTTGTGTTAGACCTCCAAAATGTGTAAACACAGCACATTAACATGTTTCCTAAACTTTTAAGTTTACTTGACTTTTTTTTTTTTTATCATAGCCAGACATTAAATATGTATGTTGCTGCAAGTTACACAGGAGGGCCCCCGCTTTACAGTGTTTCCTTTACAGTGTTTCGCTAATACAGCAATTTTCAATTACATACCCATTCTTCATATATTCACACTTTCTACAATAAATATATTCACCACTCACTCTAAACTAAGGATGAAAATATTTTAAAGTAAGAATGTGTGTACTGTAGGTACATTTTTAAGGCCTAGATCTATTGCTCACTTAACATGTTTACACTATCATCTATTATCAGGCTTTTATATGCAAATGAAAGTGAAAAAAAGGCTACGTTTGACTTTAGAGGAATTTTTGCTTTACAGCAGTAGTGCAGAACCTAACCTGCTGTATAAGTGGGGCCCTCCTGTATTTGTTAAAATTTTACTCCTGAAGCTATTGAGTTTTTCTTAGTTTGTCTTTTTAGTATTTAAGATTATATTTGTTATTGTTAATACTGTTATATTTTGTGTGTGGTAAGCTGACTGGCATCAGATACCCAGCCATATTGTGCTTTAGTTACACTACTTAAATTATTTAAGTTAACTTTGGAGGTCTGCTCATTTTTCTCCTTCACATTATATTTTCACTTAACCCAATTTTAAGTTTTTGTCTTTATCATAAAATCTTTCATACTTTGATTTCTCACTTGTACTGTATATACCCAAAATGCTCTTGTAGATAAGAACTCTGATTGTATTAGATATTTCTTAGTGCAGGTGTGAACTGCACATACTCTGCTTAATAGTGGGAATGCCAAGGTTGAAAACTTTAATATCACAGGAAGGAAGTCAGAAGTAACTTTAAAGTTTTAAGTGAAGCTGAACTGTTAGTGTTTAATAAGAATTAAGGCAAGAGTCTTGACTACTCAGGGTATGAGAAATAGCTTTTATTGTAGTAATTGAGTTCAAAAGATAGTATATAAAATACAGAATAAATATTTAATATGAAAGTAATATAAAGGAAGGTGTTCTGATGAAAGTCCTATATTGAATAGATAGGAACAAGTGAAACAAATGATGAATGTTTGTTATTAAAAGTATTGTATTCACTTGCTTTAAGAGTCTAGATGATATTTTGTGTGTGTGTGGGAGAGGGCGTATGCTTGGTTATACATGTATGCTCATTCGTACTTGTGGTTACAGGAGTCAGTCCTCAAATGCTGGCCCTGCTTCTTAACTTGCCACTCCCCGGATTCATCCCTTCTTAGCCTTGTGAGCCCTATCGTACCTGCTCGTAGAACTGTGTACAGAGCCTGCCTCCACCACTTCAAGATCATTCCACTTCCTGACCATTCTGTGATGGAAGAAGTATCTCCTAACGTGTGTGTGTGCGCGTATGCTTGTATGCATGTGTGTGTGCATGTTAGTGTGCACACGTTAATGTGTGTGTGCACATTAGTGTGTGTGTGTTAATCATTCGTGCCAGATTTGGCAACAGTTAAGTGTGTTGTATAGCACAGAACTAAAACTGAAGGCCCCAGGTTTTCAGTGACATGCAGTATTCATTTTTATACTTGCAAGTTTTAATTTTTTTATCTTATAGATTTTAATCACTTGGGAATGTTAAGCTCTTTTCCTAATTTTTAGGTCTGCAGAGTATATAGTGATCTGATTTCTTTTTCCTGTTCTATATAAATTTTATGATTTCTTAGAGTATAACCTCTTTATG